GGCTCTGCAGAAAGAGAATATGTCCAATCAGCTTATCGTATGGAAGTATTTCATGTCCGCGTTTTTGTTTCTGACTTGTTCAGCAGATTGTATGGAACGCTCGGAGATTTCTCTCGGCGGATCTCTGGCTGGGAGGAAATGAAGAAGATTCTATTTGATATCATTTAAAAAAAAATCCCACTTCAAACCTCACACATTGTATCTGTTTATATTCCCATCCCCCCACATGTTATGAGTTAAAATGGCTTTTCTCCCCCAAATAAAAATGCTGCTTCCTGCCCTCCACATCCAGAGTTCTGTGTTGGTAGTTCTGTTACTAAGTGCTGATTACTCAGTGCGCTGGGCCTGACTCTGGTGCCCCATGGACTGCACAGTCATATTTAGCAGTAACGTGCAGTACCTTCGGTGCTGGGTGAGGCATTCCCCCCAGCCCCAGCCCAGCCTAAGCCCCACCCCGACAAAGCCCTGCTCCCCAACTCGTTCACCAAGCTAGTGTGAAGGTGGGTGGGGACAGGGAGGAGCCTCCCGGTCCCTCACTGCTGAGGCTTCGAGATCGATGTTCTCAGTGGGTTTTTTTAATTAAATTTTTTATTGGACAGCTCGGACCAATGGCACTTTGTCATTGGTACAAACCATCCACAGAGCTCACGCCTCTAACACAGAGTAGAGGCTGTGACGGCTCTTGCCTCACCATGTTAGGTTACACAAGCGGTGGGGAAGCCTGCTGCTGTGTAACCTAACTTAGCTGGCAAGAGCCGGATGCAGCTCTGCCTGTAATTAACACACAGCACTCCGTCCATGACAGGTGACACAGCGGGGAGGGTTTCCCTCTTGTGTAACCTGTAACAAGCCGATCTGAATGGAGAAAAAGGCTTTCAGCTTCAGACCTGAAGCTGACAGCTTTTTCCTCCATAATACTAGATGAGGCTCTGCCTCCTCTGACCACACGTCCCTAATATTTAGACAACAAGCACTATTGCTGTAGCAGGAAAGTGGAGGTAAGGCTATACTAATGGAGGCTGTTGCTACAAAGTCTGTCTGCAAACCTACCTGTGAGTTCATTTGGGCTTTAGGGACACCCACAATTAAAGCCTTAAAGGAGAACTATTGGGGGGGGGGGTGCTTTTCACTCACCTCATAGTTCTAGCCGACCTGTGACAATGAGACTGTCACAGGTCGGCTCAGTAGATCGGGAGGTGAGCGAACACATACCGGCGTTTGCTCACTTCTCGATCCTGTCACGGCTCTCTGCCGTGACAGGGGAGGGGCTGGATTCCCCTCTCCCCGCTCCGATCCTCCAGCGCTGACTGGCGGAACGGACGGGGGAGGGGGCGGGTACAGCTGGCTCTGCCTCTAGATAGGCAGAGCCAGCTGTCACTCACGCAGCTGGGCGGATCCCGTCATCTACGTCGGGATCCGCTCCGGCTGCGGCGTCTCAGTATACCGCGAGCTAGAGCTTGCGGTATACTGAGCTTAGGGTGACGGGAGGACGCTAGTTTGTGTCCTCCCGTTACCCTAAGGAGAACTATGGGGAAAAACACTGACCCCATAGTTCTCCTTTAAAATGCATTCAGGGCTATTAGCACAGCTTGCGCTCTGTGCTCTGGGCCACTCCATGGTGGAAGATGCTTTTCAGTTTGTTTCCTGAGAAGAGCATTTCAGGTAGAGTTGGAACAAGTTGTTGTCAGTCCCACCCACTTCAAAACTGTGTTTAGTGAACACTGATCAGCGACAACCTATTATAATCAGTATTAAAGTGCAACTGGATCCTAAACTACTCTTGTTTTGTATAGAATGAAGAGGGATTAGACACCCTGTCAGGTTTTGATTGCTGTCAGTGTCCCCATTAAGTAGGTTCAATCTCTCTACTTGTCCCGGTGACCATTATCAATGAAAGTGAAAGAAAATCCCAAATTATAGGTTGTCACCAGAACAGGAAGAGAGATGGAAATCTTAGATTAGATTGTACATAATCAATCACCTCCAGATGTAGCTCCAAGGCTGCCGCTAAAACTGCCCCTGCATCTGTATTATTAAACATGGCCGGCAGACCTTCAGTGTGAGGATAATGAATGATATCACTCAGCGTCTGATCTGCAGAGAATGTCTTCCTAGCACAGAATGTAGTTACATGTCATCACTTCCATGACAAATCCACACATGGAGTTTGTTCTTCATTTAATGAGCTTCTCCAAGAAAAAAAGTGAAACTCTTTCCTTTCAGTGCTAGAAGGGTGCCAGTCAGTGATTTACATTCCTCACCTCCCTGCTTCCTGATGATAGGTGAGGGCTGTGTGAACACCAGTCCTTACCTGAAATAAGCCATGCTGAAGATACAGTACATTGTTATAGGGACTCGGGAGGAGCTGCCATTGATACTCAGCAGATGCTTATGGCAAAATCCCCCTTAAGAGAAGGAAATGTATTATTATAATGGGGTTGTATAGCTGTCAGTATAGGGGCACATAATACACTCAGCACCAAGAACAGCCCCATGAGTCAGCATAGGGACACAATACATTCAGCACCCTGGACAACTCCTATGAGGGTCAGCATAGGGACACAGTATAATGCATTCAGCACCCTGGACTTATATAAGGGTCAGTATAGGGACACAGTATAATGCATTCAGCACCCTCAGTATAGGGACACAGTATAATGCATTCAGCACCCTCAGTATAGGGACACAGTATAATGCATTCAGCACCCTCAGTATAGGGACACAGTATAATGCATTCAGCACCCTCAGTATAGGGACACAGTATAATGCATTCAGCACCCTCAGTATAGGGACACAGTATAATGCATTCAGCACCCTCAGTATAGGGACACAGTATAATGCATTCAGCACCCTCAGTATAGGGACACAGTATAATGCATTCAGCACCCTCAGTATAGGGACACAGTATAATGCATTCAGCACCCTCAGTATAGGGACACAGTATAATGCATTCAGCACCCTCAGTATAGGGACACAGTATAATGCATTCAGCACCCTCAGTATAGGGACACAGTATAATGCATTCAGCACCCTCAGTATAGGGACACAGTATAATGCATTCAGCACCCTCAGTATAGGGACACAGTATAATGCATTCAGCACCCTCAGTATAGGGACACAGTATAATGCATTCAGCACCCTCAGTATAGGGACACAGTATAATGCATTCAGCACCCTCAGTATAGGGACACAGTATAATGCATTCAGCACCCTCAGTATAGGGACACAGTATAATGCATTCAGCACCCTCAGTATAGGGACACAGTATAATGCATTCAGCACCCTCAGTATAGGGACACAGTATAATGCATTCAGCACCCTCAGTATAGGGACACAGTATAATACATTCAGCACCCTGGACCTATATAAGGGTCAGTATAGGGACACAGTATAATTAATTCAGCACCCTGGGTAGCTCCTATGAGGGTCAGTATAGTGACACAGTATAATACACCATGGAAAGCCCACTATAAAGTTTGGTATAGGGACACCATACATTATATTCAGCACCCTTGACAGCCCACTAGAAGGGTGTAAACCAGCTGCTGACAGGCCTGAAGTACTCCCATCACAACTCAATACAACTTTCAGGCTCTGTTGGGGGGGGGGGGGGTGTTTTGGATCCCCAAATCACGTCGGCTTCTCTACTTGAATGTCCCCTGACCCTAATGGAATAATGTTGTATCTGGACTATTTTAATTGGTGAGGCGCTTCAATTCCTACATCTCCCATGTGTACACTGCCGAGCCAAGGATACCTTGGAGATCCTTTGTCATTGTGGATGCTGCCTATTCATTAGCCAGATCACACATATTCACATCACTTAACTGCTCTTGGATGAGAAACAGCAAGAGAATAACCACACAGGTCCAGCTCTTTCTTTCCATACTTCCAAATAGCCCCACATAAGGGTCAGGATAGGGACACAGTATAATACATTCAGCACCCTGGGCAGTCCAGTATAATGGTCAGTATAGGGAAACCATGTAATATATTCAGCACAATGGAGGCTCCGGTGTAATGGTCACTGTAGGGAAACGATGTAATATATTCAGCACCCTGGACAGTCTGGTATATTGGCTCCCAGTCCCTGCAGCTCAGTAGCTCTCTTTCGGCCTGACTTGCTGCAGGAACAGGACACATCAAACCAGCTCGACCCTTTTGAAGTCTTCGGGGCTATAAATAAAACGAATTCTCAGCAGGAGGCGGATCCAAACAGCACAGAGCATTGTGACATTTGTTGTTGTGTTGTGTCCACACTGACCATATTATCATACGCCTGCCAGCCATCCTTATTACCCTCACAAAAGCCCGGCCACTCCTGATCTGTCCCGTGTAGCCTCACCCATGCCACTACCAAACCCCTATTCAAACTGCTTACTGATTTACAACAACTTCACCATCCCACCCTGTGCCCTCAATGTGCCCTTTCCTAGACATTTGCCACCTCTTTCACTGCCCTGTAGCTACACTAATCCCTTCCAAACTCCCTGTCACCTCTATTACTTCCTGACCCCACACTGAACCCCTATCTAGACCCTGTTAGCCCTGTTACTGCCATGTGCCCACACTGAACCCCTTCTCAGCTTTCACAGCTCCCTCATTGTTCTTTGCCCACAGCATGTCATTGCCACCTTCCTCAGTTCACTATGCCCACACTAGACCCCTCTCTGATGTTTGGCTCCCCTGTTACTGCCCTAAGTGAACTCAACGCTTATTATTGCCCTGTGCCCACACATTTAACCCCTTCCTAGCCTATATCACCTCTATTCACTGTTCTGTGCCCATTCAGAACATGTCCCCAGCCCCTGCCACATATGTTAACTGTCCTATGCCAACATGTAACTCTTACCCAGCCCCTATCACCTTATGCATTGTCCTGTGCCCGCACTGATCCTCTCACCACCCCTTGCCACTCAGATTACTGCTCTGTGCCAACATTGGCCATCTCCCCAAATCATATCACCCCTATCACTACCCTGCGCCCACACTGAACCTCTTCCTAGCCACTGCAATCACTACCACTTCCCTGTGCCCAAACTGACCCCCTTCTAAGGCTTTGCCACCTCAATCACTGCCCTGTACCTGCAATGAACCCATCCCTAGTCCCTGTAACAGCCAACACTTCCTTGTACCCACACTGAACCCCTCTGTTGCCACTGTTAGCCCTATACCCACACTGAACAACCCCTATATAGCTCCTGCCACCCCATCACTGCCCTGTACCAACAGTGAACCCCTCCCCAGCCCCTGCTACCTTTTATCACTGTTCTGTACCCACAATGAACCCGTATATAGCCCCTGCCACCCCATCACTGACCTGTACCCACTCTGAACCCCACCCCAATACCTCCTACTTTTATCACTGCCCTATACGCACACTGAACCCCCATATAGCTCCTGCACTGCCCTGTACCAACAGTGAACCCAGCTACCTTTATCACTGCCTTGTACCCACAATGAACCCATATATAGCCCCTGCCACCCCATCACTGCACTGTACCCACATTTAGCCCCTGCCACCCCATCACTGACCTGTGCCCACCCTGAACCCCACCACAATACCTCCTACATTTATCACAGCCCTGTACCCACACTGAACCTTGCCATTGTACTTGCCACCCTGTGCCCTCTCTCTTGTATCTCCAAGCACAGTGGCCCGTGCTCCGGCATAATTCCTGCATAACAAAGCGATGGTAACCGATTGGCTTTCATAATAAAGACAATAGAGAAACCTTTTCAGATTCACAATCAATGACAGATACACAGTCGCAGCAAGCCCCATCCTCCCCTTCAATCGAGGTAACCTATGGTCCCCAGCGGCCGAGGAACTACAAGTCCCTGCTGATCCTGTAAGCTAGACGCTGGGACTTGTAGTCCCTTTGAAGCGGGGGGTCGGGTCTGGTTGGAGTGCTCGGGGCAGGACATCGATGCTGTGGGTGACAGGCTGCAGTTCCCGGCTCGGCCACAGGAGGCGCCCCCTACAATCACACTGACAGTCGCGAAGGGTTTGGCAGAGCTCAGCGTCTGTTAGGAGCTGGAGGAGTGACCCGGGAGGGGGACCGGTGGGGACCAGGAGTCGGGATCGTACAATCTGATGGTGCATAATGCAAAGATCATCGCATCGAAACAGGAAATCAATCAGGAGCCCAAGCAGAAGAGCTGTCTGCGCTCACAATTCCCCCCCTGGTGAAGTTTCTCTCTGTGCCCCCTTCTATGTGGATTACTGAGATCTCAGGATTAAGTGAAGTTTTTTTATTTCTTCTTCATCATCAATGGGCCACCCTGGCGAGGACTGCCCGCTCGGAGGATCAGCCAGCGAGTGACCATGCACCCCCAGATCCGAGCAGACACAATGTATTTCTGAGCATTGACAGCTGGCACAATAGACCTGCGAGAAGCCCGGCAGCACCCGGAGATAAGTACCATGAAAGTTACACAGTTTAAAATCTCTTCCTCTGAATGATAATTCTGCAAGTTGGTCGGTTTGGAGTTGGCTGCTCTGTAACACTGGATGCCTGCTGGAATCTTGGCTTATTCTGGATGTACAAAGCTCACTTGTGTTGGGATGAGTCTGGGAATTGTAGATTGATGGGGATGTAGCTCATGCTCAGTACAAAGTCACAATCTATGCAATAGCTCATTGTTAGTATGAACTGTCTAGAAATGAAAGTCTTAGCTAGCCAATCCTGCCCCATGGCGACCACCACATTGGCAGATGCTCCTCACCTCCCCAAACTTAGTATGATAGTCTGATTGCCTCTGAGACCTGGGACATGGTGACAGATTCATCATGGAGCTGGGCTAAGCTTCCTCTCTTCTTCTACAAGAACCTAGACTATGGTCTTATCTACCCAGCTACCCAACTCCTACTGCTGTGGCACGGTGGGTCAGTACTGGCTTATGGCCAATTCCATAGCAGCTTGTAGTTCCTATAGGTCATTGTAGGGAGCCTAAGTAATGTAGCAATGGTTTCCAGCGCTGTGTAATGTAAGGCTACCATCAGATCTGGGTATAATGTCCCATAAGCCTAGAGATGTGTCTAAAACTGAGCTGGGTCCCACATGAGCCCAAGGGGAGATGTAAGTAGTAGAGCACCTTTGGTCGGTGTCTTGCTGCCTAGGGGCAGAGGATGGCTTGTCGAGGTGGCTGCTGCTGCTGCTTATTCGGTCACCTGAATGAAGATAATGGTCGCTTCCTCCTGCTGGCCATTCTTATTATCCTCTACCTGCTTTGTGGAGCAGCGGTTTTCTCGGCCATTGAGCAGCCCAAAGAGAGAGAAGCCAAGGAGAGGTGGCAGTTGAAGTTTGACAACTTTTCACAGAAGTACAACCTCAGCAAGAGTGACCTGCGCAACTTCCTCCGGGACTACGAGGAGGCCAACGTGGCTGGCATTAGGGTGGATGCCATCAGACCCAGGTGGGACTTCACTGGGGCATTCTACTTTGTTGGCACCGTCGTCTCTACAATAGGTAAACCTTTATATTATGATCATTAGGCCTTCTGCCTGGTCACTGTTCGTTTCAATGTCATTTTAATTATTTGGGATATTTTTTTTTTCAAATTGACAATTTTTATTGTTTTGTTCTTTGCACATGTTGTATACAAGAAATACAAAAATAACATGAAACATGAGGCAAAAATTACAATGTAAGACAACATACAGACCTGAGCCAAAGTATACCGACTGAAGCTCTCATCATTACACATTAAACCCACTGCGGCTATCAGCTCTCATCCAGGTGGAGTACAAGTAGCTTCAGTGTATGCCAATAATGACATCTAAGGACTACCGCTAGTGCGAAAAGAACACATAGGTATACATTTGTATCACAGGTACCGTCTCCACGCACCATTATCTCGGGTTGAAGGAATATTGTGCTAGTTCCATAATTGAAAAGAGCTCTAGCAGGCTCTGAACCTCAGCCATATTTGGGATATTTAATAAGACAGGAAGCAATGTGCAGTTACCCTTGGCTGCCCATATGATACTCCTACCTGACTATGTTAAATGACAGTAGATGTAAACCCAATCAGTAAAATCTCATAAAAGCTTTAACGTATGGTTGATGTAATTTCATATGTTATTTTCAGTATATCAAACCTACAGCCTACATTGAAAAAATCCCTGGTGATCCTGCCATTTATGTCCTTGTTCAGGCAACTTCCTGTTATGGGGTGATAACGCTCTGTCCCTGTCTCCCAGTTGTGCTCCTGTGTTCACACCCAGTCACCTGGGCTTCCAATGGAGACTACAAGTGGCCTGCCCTGAGGAATGCCATGCAACCATAGAGCGCTGAGATGTAACTAAAGACAAAAATTAGGTTAAAAAAGGTTCACATTTACTTGATTGCACTTCACTCTTCATCATTGCCCTGTGCAGTGCCCGAAAAACTCCATACACTGCATGTGCTTATGAAGAATTGTATATGACTTTCCAACCCAAGAGTTGGTAGTCGGGATAGTTACTGTATGATCAGCTGAAACATAAAGCCTTGAGGAATAGCTGCCCTCCGACACTTCCGTGTGTGTCGGGTACCATGTACCCCTTTGGTAAAATATGTCTCTACTGAACACAGTAGGGGGATAGCGGCCGATGGAAGGAACCACAGGGCCCAGTGGAGTGCAAGCTATCCAACGCACCCAGGGGTGACAGCTGCACTCGGAGCCTTTCAAGAGAGCAAAGATGGGGCATTTAAACACCCCCACCTGCCTTCTCCACCCCCTAAAGCCCCCCAGGTTTTTGTATTAAAAAAAACCACCCTGTACATACCTTTTTCCTGTACTCATCTACCTGTTCCTGTGACATCACAGCAGCTTCCTCTTCTTCCTCGGCAATGGCCGCAGGGGGCGGGGTATTCTTGAAGGACTGAGCATCACTCATGCAAGTGTTGTTCTGCCCAAGGAGGACCGCTGGCACTGGACCAATTTATGAGTCAGAGACAGTGCTGGAGCGTGGAAAGGGTAAGAGAGTTAGGCGGCAATATTTTTATAGGGGGGGGGGGTTTACTTTTAGGAGAAAGTAAGTATGAAAACACTTTTATTTGGCAATGACTTTGATTTTCGTGTTTTCCCAGCAATGGAGTCACTTTAATATTTCATCTTCCCTATCTAAAACTGAACCGGTCTCGGCTTTAGATATACTATTAAAAACATATTAAACGCTCAACATTTCGTCAGTAATGAATCCAGATCAAATTATACATCACCCGGCAAGGTATTTCTTTGCATTTGTTCCCAAGTCATTGTGTTTCCAAATCCAAGCAGCTCCAACTTTCTCTGCTCGGCTTCCCTGAACGTCCTGTCCAGTACAAGATCGCAAGGGTCAGAGCTGTCTATCCACTTCCTTGGAGAAGGGTTGAGGGGGGAGGAGAGCATCTTGCCTTGCTTGTGTCTGTGTGTTTGTGGACAGTTATTGTGTCCCCCGCACTTCCATACAGCGTACAGACCTTTGTTCTTTCTTGGTGCTTGGGTCACTGTGTCACCCTGAGGAAGGGACCCTGCCTGGCCCCCCGAAACGTTGACTTTATGACAAGAAGTCAATAAAGAGTGTTCATACTAAAGGCATTTGTTTGTGTGTTTCTGGAGACACACACCGCTTAAGCGTGGCTCCATAAGACCCTGCAAGGGAAAGGAGCCACCCCAAAACAGGACATGAGGGCCAGTGATTGGGGGGGCCAGCTGATTCTGCAGGAAAAGTAAATCTTTGGAACATCAAGAAGCAGCGTCCATTGTAAGTGACTTAATCGGCATTTCAAAATAGCTTAAAGTAGTATCAAACTCTCCAACTTAATTTCAATAATGAGTCCAGATCAAATAAATATACAACACCAAGCAAAAGTATTTATTTTACATTTGTGCTCATGCAATTACAATCAGCATGTTTCCAAACAGCTCCAACTCTCTCAGCTCAGCTTCCCTGAACTTCCTGTCCACTACAAGATCACAAGGAACAGCTCATCCTCCAGTAGCCGGCCATCCACTAGCTTGGAGAGGGGAGGAGGGAAGAAGGAGAGAATGGGGAGCAGAGGAGTGTCTTGCGTTGCTGTGTCTTTGTATTTGTAGATCCAATTAGTCCCATCACACTGCTAACCGGAGAAAAACCCAACGTACAGGGCGGGCACCAGAGTAGCAGCAGATGCCTCCGCAGATAACGAACAGCCAATGAGAAAGCCACTCGCACTCCTGATAAAGGAACCGCTGGGTTCTGAAACGTTGCATTAAGATGTCATACCACTTCAGCCAATAAATGGATTGACTGGACATTGAATTGGAGTGCGAGTGGCTTTTTCGTTGGCTGTTTGTATTTGTATTTGAGACACACACAGCCTACTAGCACACACAAGGGTGGCTCCATAGGACCCTGCAAAGGAAAGGAGCCACCCTGAAACAGGATATTAGAACCAGTGCTCAGGAGACCGGCTGATTCTGCAGAAAACTAAAACTTTTCAAGATCAATAAGCAGCGTCCATTGTAAGTGATTTAATTATCATTTCCAATACCTTAAAAACCTTTTGAATTCAGTATCACTTTAAATGTTCACCTTAAAGGAGAACTATGAGGTGAGTGCTTTTCACTCACCTCATAGTTCTAGCCGACCTGTGACAATGAGACTGTCACAGGTCGGCTCAGTAGATCGGGAGGTGAGCGAACACATACCGGGTTCCCTCACCTCTCGATCCTGTCACGGCTCTCTGCCGTGACAGGGGGAGGGGCTGGATTCCCCCCTCCCTGCTCCGATCCTCCAGCGCTGACTGGCGGAACGGACGGGGGAGGGGGCGGGTACAGCTGGCTCTGACTCTAGATAGGCAGAGCCAGCTGTCACTCATGCAGCTGGGCGGATCCCGGGACAATTGTCGGGATCCGCTTCAGCTGCGGCGTCTCAGTATACCGCGAGCTGTAGCTCCCTATATACTGAGCTTAGGGTAACGGGAGGACGCTAGTTTGTGTCCTCCCGTTACCCTAAGGAGAACTATGGGGAAAAGCCCTGACCCCATAGTTCTCCTTTAAACCACAGATTTCTCAGGAGGGATTTCTTGTCATCGCTGAACTTCTACTTGTAAAGTGACGGAGTTCTTCAACATTCAGCAAACAAAGATGTCCCCTGCACACCATGTAGCAATTAGGACCGGTGCTTGTAGTGACGTCCACGGATGGCCCCGCGCATATCCAGATCCCCGGCACTCGCAGGATGAGAATAAATCCAGAAGTGTAGAGCAATGTCACATGTGTAATATAGCCAATGTTTCAGAACCACGCAGGCAGGGCGGTGCTGTCACTAGGCAAACTAGGCAGCCGCCTAGGGCGCACAGCTACCTAGGGCGCAGCCTTGACCACTC